GTTGGCTTCCTTGGGGCGAACTGAAAGTTAAACACAATACATATTGAGGTGAATCACTTGTGGATTTATATTTATGATTTTACTATTAATTAAAAAGAACAATACAGCAATTATACAGTCTAAATAACACTTTACTTTGGGGTTTTATGAAACAGAAAGATAGAGAAATAAAAAAAGAAAACTGGTGTCAAGAAAATAAATTATTAATAAATTAACAAATCGTGTGATTTTACTTTGTGATCTGTTATCATAAAAGTGGTACAATGTAATGCCACGAGATGCCAATGAATGCTGAAACAATAATACACTGGGTTGTCTGATCATTTATTTCATTGAGAACATTTAGATGTTAGCTATAACTTTGGGGGAAGGAGTTGGCAGTCATCAGTTTTGTAGTTGGGGAGGGAGGTAGGCAGAAAAACGTACTTGTGATTGTTAATTAAGAAGAAAGGTTCCCAGTTGAAACCAACAAAACAATCAAGTTCTAACCAGGGACCGAAAAGGTATTGAACCGGTATTATTCCGTATCGGTATGAAATACCTTTCTTAGGACGTCTGTCTCATTGTTCTATAAAAGTTATGGACGTCCATAAAAGTTATACCAGTATGTTCAGTGTAAAATAAATGTCCCTCCATCTACAGAGAGAAAATAACTTCCTTTCGTTGGTCATTTTGCGATATACTTATTAATAAAATTTTAAAAAAAATCATGCATGCACGCACGCACGCACGAGCAAGGCAACGTCTACGCGCGCCCACTCACAGTAGACGCAATATACTCAGGCGCCCTGTCTCCCTCCCTTTCTGTTCTCTCAACACACACACCTTCGGCAGAAAATTTGCTGGGCAAACGGTTAAACATCCGTCGCTCACATTTCAATGCTTCAGATTGCGAAAAGGAATTGATCTGATCGAAACCCAATGTTTAGGGCCGAGCCGTAAATGCCCTTGGATCGAAACGCTGACCTCCGGAAGCTAAGCTTAAGGACTACCTCGAAAGCTACGCCGACCACGCATCACCGGTGCTGCCTCGCTGCTCTTACAATATGGCAATTGATACGCAGTTCCGAAAACGGAAGTTTATTTCTTGGTACGGAAAGGGGATTCTCTTTGGAAATATTCTACATTATTCGAAGGCAGACAAGATGGCCGTAATCTTAAAATATTTTCAAACGTCAAGATCGACAGACCATCGAGTGGTTACTAACGTGCCACATCTCACCGTCGTTGAAAAAAAAGCAGCTGTAGGGATTGTGGATGTGAACATCCTAGCATATTCTAGTCGACCACAAGGAAATCGAAAAAGTAACTAAATATCATGATCTCCAGATATAGTTGAAAAGAGATCACAGTTGTCCCATTGGGGGATCCAGAGGCTACACTAGACACGTGACGGAACACCTGAGTATCCTAGGAATCAGTGCGGGCTTACAATTACAACCCTAAAAGGCCGCTGTGCTGGGCACCGCTCATACCTTCCGTAAGTAATACGTTTCGTTGCACGATAGTTGGCATGAACTACGAAAGAGAATACCTCCCATTACATTCTCCGACAGTCAACTCAGAATCTCGCAAGCTCAAGCCGTTCTATCAGTGTTCGATTTTTTAAAAGCCTCTCAAGTGAATGAATGTACAAACATAATTTTAAAATACATTCAACTCACCTAATTACACTGGTTAACAGTAATGTTAAATAGCTAACTGTAGCTGTTTCCTATGTATTTTGCTACGCTAAAGCCGAATACTATCACAAAAATTGCCCATCGGGCTCAATTTTTCTGTAATCGCCTATATTCTAAAACTACATATTTTTCGCAGATAGCCACATGTCATTCATGCTGAATCGCAAGTTGCTAGCAGATTTATTACAAGATGGTGGTCGACAACTATGTATGATATTGTAGATTACACTGAAGATATGAAATAGATGCTAGACCGGTCAATTCGGTTGAGGAAATTTGGGCATTGCGAAGGGAATTGCAGTGACCCAAGTAAACGTCACGCCGGCTCGGCGCGTTGTGTACGTGGGTCACTTCAGTTCGTTGCGTCCTACCTATGGAGCGAAACAGGTGTTGATATTTTGTATAGTGCACGACTCATCTATTCGTTGCGTTATTGCGTTAATTTTTGTACGAGCAGATTCCTTGCAATACCGCGGCAATTTGTAAATCATCCATATTATGTGTGTGGTGAGGTACCTTTTTTTAAGATCCAAAGGCGGAGTATTACGTCCTTAATACGAAAGGCATATGAATTGCATGTCAGGTGTCAAATGGGCGATCAGGACAAATCGTGCGCCTCTCATATTTGCTATTTAACATTACTTAATTGTTGGCTTAACGGAAATCCGCGACATATGCCATTTTCAATACTCAAAATTTCCTATGCAATCTAACGTATTGTACTGATGTTGATGCATTACTGAGTGCTTTGGAAGACCATCATGGTCCTAAGAAATGAAGGTTGTTTATAGATTACTATAAACTTAGCTAAAAAGCCGGGCTTATTCATATCGAAGATATGACATCAGCTAATCCTCTTTTGGCGAGAGTCTACTGGGCCAATTTAAACGGAGTACTATAGATCAGTGCTGAATATTTTCTTCGTCATCTAACAGATTCAACCAATATACTTTTGATGAAAAATATTTCTGTTATAACAATTTAAACATAATAAATATTAATTTATTTAGATTAAACATATTTAGTTAATATTTTAATGTTTTGCATAAGACTGAAAAAGAATTATTTAAGCAAATTGTTATTAAAAATGTTTGAAAAAATGATGAAAATATTAACGTTACGTAACGTATTAAACTAACACCTCGTACCCCAATGTAACGCAGTGTAACGCTACCTCTATCCTCTTAACTGTAACGTAACTTCAGGACGAGCCCTATTACAGTACCGGCAGCGTATAAGCGACACAGTTCTCTCGCCTCGTTCTGTGGTATGTCATGTGACCTGTTCGAAAGCAACCTCGTTGCGAGGATTTGTTTACTTTCTCACACGAAGCGGGTTCTGCGTTGCCGCTGATCTGACTCACACGACGTCGCGGAGGCGATAAGGTTCGGCTTTGGCGAAGGTGATGAATACGATAACCAAGACGTGTGGTCGCCTGTCGGTATGAGGTAATGTTTTGAGATGCACACGCAAGCTTCCGCGGCTCGAATCCGTAAATTCTTGGCTATCCGGGAGACGCCGCGTCGTTGGCTGAGAGGCCGACGTTTCGCCTGACATGTCCCAGGCCTTCCTCATTGCCGCATGAGGAAGCCTGCGACATGTCAGGCGAAACGTCGGCCTCTCAGCCAACGACGCGGCGTCTCCGCGGATAGCGGAGAATTTAAGATGTTTTGAGATTTCATTTATCCGTGGTTGTAGGTGGAACTGTGAGCGTCGCGTCTACGCTGCCGGTCGCGTAGGCAAGAGCCGACGGCCACGCAGCATCCACTGACCGGGGCAGGCGCGGGCAGCACGCGCACATCGTCACGGCGAAGCCTCCGTTGCTGGCGGGCCGCTCAGCACCAGGCGGCCCGGCTCGCGCGCGTCCAGCGTCACCTGCGCCCCCGCCCACGCGGGCCCGCGTCGTGTCCAGCCCAAGCGCCGACAGCCGCCACAGCTGCGCACACACTCACTCACCCTCGGCTCCACACCTCCCTTCGAACGGGAAGCCCCTCCGAGGTCACGAGTGGAAAGGAGAGGGGCACGCTGTCTTCCAATCGCGAGCTTCGTTACGACTTACGTTTTGGTATTGAAGCTCGCGAGTCGTTGGCAGTGTACCCCTCCCTTTTCGGCTCGTGACCTCGAAGGGACTTACTGTTTTAATGGAAGGATAGTACCCGTCTTCTCGCGCGCGCACAACGTGCAAGTTTTCTTCATATTCTGCGGGGGGGGGGAGGGTCTGGGGAGATGAGAACTCTGGTTACAACGCGGCTTAAAAGAGCGTACCAACTGTTCGTATGAACTCCTTGCGCCCAAGCGTGCCAGGAGAAATACTAAAGTTGTTTTGAAGATAGTAGATGGTTGTTGGATACTCTGTAAAAAGGTACGTGCCGTTTCGAGTCGGTCCTAAGTATCTCAGCGTGCAATTCAGCACTAAGCAATGACTAGAGAGCTCATGTATCAAGAAAACTTGCGCGAGTAATACGTAGAAATGTGTAGGAAGCGCAGAGGCAAGGTCATCGTAACAGAAGTTAAAACCTAACAATCTGAGAAAAAAATGAATTTAGAGAGTTTTAGTTTGTGTTAAAATTCAGTAGTTGTGAGAAATATGAATATTTCAGAAGGATAAACATTTGACCAAACATGTAATAATTGTCAATGAAATTGCAACAATGGAGCAATTATAGATTCTGGAGCTTTAGCAACACTTCAGCAACACAGCACACAAGGCTAAATTACCGCAAATTAATAACGTGTAAGCTGGTGAGAAGGGAGGTGGCGGTATAGAATGCCACATGTTAATGTACACCACTATTAATGTAAGTGAAAATTCGCCCCCGGCTTAGGGCTAAAAAAATTGTTTTTAAACGAATTTATGGGGAAAAAACTAAAATCCCGTCTCCCTACAGATTGTTTCAGAATAAATTTTACAAACTTCTAGGGCATGTAGAGTGTTGAAAATAATTACTTTTGGCCAATGAACATGTGGCTGGAAATCGCATCTAACAAAGTTACTCGTGTGTCATTTGCCCCTACTTAGTATGCAACTCCTCTTCCACTGGTGTTTGAAAGCATTCAGAATCTCCTTGTCTGCTTTTGAATGTGTACCTTTTAAAACACCAGTGGCAAGTAGCTTCTTATTTACGTGACCTTCGTAACTTCGTTATGTGGAGTTTCCCTGCACACAGTCTTTGACAAAACGTGATCATCTTCGACCGCCTACGTGCTCCAGAAGGTTGTATCATTTATTTTGAGACACCTGTGTATTGCGCATGCGTCCCCGTTCGGCTGCACTGCCGGGAGCGCCGTGTGCGGAGTGAGGAGCTCGGCGGGACGCACCGTGTGCGGAGTGAGGTCGTCGAGGTCGCCCGCCGTGGGGTAGCGCAGCAGGGACAGGTGCGTGGAGTCGCCGGCGCCGAACGCCGCGAACCAGAAGGTGAAGCAGAGCAGCGGGCCGCGCGGGGCGCCGGGCGGCGGGCGGGCGGGCCCCGCCACCAGCCGCACCTCGCGCACCACCTGGTTCGTCGCGAAGATGTCGAAGAAGATGTACCCGTCTGCGCACACAAGACACGCGCTGCAGGCGCCTTGCGCGACCGTCTGCTTCGCCACGCTAATACCATTAGTCTATTCTACGCTTATTGATTTATTTACGAGCATTTGGCATTGACCCATGATTTGTAGGCAACACTCAATGTACTGGTGTCTGACAGGTGCGCGAACCGTCAGAAGACGACCTGCTTACGACAGAAATGTCGATTTGAGGTTTGACATATGGGAGGCCAATGTCGAAGAACGTTCAGACGCAGCCATATCTGACCAATAAAGACAAAAACTCGATATTGTCATTGCCCCTAAGCAATGACCAGTCAAGGTGGTGCCCAATTGCCTAGTGTGTTGTCAAAAGTCAGTGGTGCGTAAGTTCGTTATGTTGGCTTTCCCAGTACGTGTTTAATGGTAAGACGTCATGATATTTGTCCTAGGAATTAATGCGTTTAGGAATTAATAACGTTTAATTTGAACCACCATGTATTCTGAACCAACATTACACGAAATACATGGCGACTTCACATTGTCAAGAGTCTATCCCACTTTGAGGAAATCTTTGAAGAAAGCATTTGAAACGGGGAGGTCTAATAAAATGTAAAGTGCTATTTTTTATTATTGGTTCTTGTTGTAGTTTTTGTACTAGTCAGATTTGACAATTTGTTTTCAATAAAAAGTCAAAACAATGCATTTGTCCATAGTCGTATAAAGCTTTGTCATTCCGAAGCTGCGATGCCTCTCGGGGTACTCACAACTTGTCAACTGTAACGTCGCCACCACGATACATACTAGAGGCCCCGGAAACTCGCAACTTTTCTGCAACATCTCAGATCTCCGACGCTTGTTGGATATTTTCTACATTGGAACCTGTCAGGTTCCAATAAAAATGTAAGACCAAATAATGAAAGTGGAATAGAGTGGTAAAGGTACAGATGCACACAGTACGGGTTTTGTTTAAAATATTGGTCCAACATCCGTTGAGATTGATCGAGGAAAATGAGTGGCGGCTGGCGCTGTAAACCACTGTTAGCAGTGGCTCATTTTAGCTCCAGCACCTGAGCAAAATTATTTTTAACCCCATCTCAAGCATATATTATAGTAATTAAAGTACTTTGCTGAAGTAGTTTCAGAAAATGTTTAAAATAACGTACGAAAATTATAGACAAACCTGTTTGAATTGTGTTCTTAGTTTAAAATACATTCACATGATATTGATAACTACATCTGAAATTCTACTTATAAAAAGGTAATACTACTACTAATAATAATAACATAAATGGGTCGGTGAAAACCATAACGGTGTAAGCAACATTTTATAAATTCTTAGAAAAACGTGTTTATTTTAAGCTATATTTCAGTTGGACTGTAATTTCGTGGTATTAATGAACAGTTAAAATATCGTGGTTTTAATGATGAAACAAAGCACCACGGCTTTACAGTAACATTGAATTAAATAGTTTTCTCGGAATTTATAAAATATCACTTATAACACTTTGGTTTTCGCCCATTCAAATAATACTTATAAAATTAATTCTTTTTAATTAAAATATATCTATTTGATAACCAAGTTTTTCATTGATAATTCGGTATTAATATATTTTGTTAATTATAAAAGTATTACGATATAAATATGAACGTTTATACGTTATACGTAAGATTTTGCTATCTCACTGCGATGACTAACACTAGCTAGCAACTTTCTTTAGGCGTAGTTCAAAAAACTCTTTTTAGGCGTAGGAGTAAAAAAACCCAAACAACCACCCACTGGATGCCCACTGTTCATAGAGACCCCGCAAAGGGTCAGGCGAACACGATTTGTACACCAAATGAGACGTTAGGCGTAGTTGTTGTCAGCGAGGTGGCTCGGGACCTTGGGTGTTAGGCAAGTAGCGCCAGGGCAAGGGCGTCGCAGAGATGCGGGGCGTACCGGCGGTGCCGAAGGTCTTGTCCGCGAGGTGCGCGGGCCGGTGGGAGTCGAAGGCGCGCTGCCACGTGACGAGGCGCTCGCCCGCGCGCGTGCGCGTCCAGTTGCTCCAGCCGCACAGACCGCGCTCGAACGAGCAGTCCTCGGGCCGCAGGGTGGCGTGCGCGGGCTGGACTGCAACGCCATCGTCCACGGATTAGGCGGAAAGGAAAATGAAAGGAGCTGCTCTCTCCTTTGTATGCCGGTGACTCAGAATAAATGTGACAAACTTCTAGGGCATGTAGGGGTCGAAGATGATTACTTTTTGCTAGTGAACATATGGTGGGAAATTTCATATACCAGACTTGAAAGGGTGAAATTGGCCCTGATTTGTAGGCAACTCATCATGCCCTGGTGGTTGCCAGGTCTCGTTCTGACGCAAAGGTATTTCGTGTTCCCGTCAAAGACCAGTACATGACTTGTCTACCAATCAGGGTCAAATGTCATGTGTAACTTTCCACCATTTGTTACTGGACCAAAAGTAATTATCTTCAACTCCTACATGTTACAAAAGTTCGTAACATTTATTCTGAGACTTTCTGTTCATGTATTAGTCAACAGAAAATTATGTTTAAATCGTTGAGTGATGATATTTGCCAACTTGTTCCCTTCATATTTTAAAGGTATTTTGAGACTCACTGGTTCTGCATATTTTAGTGCTTTTTTTATTATTGCATTCCTAGCTCTTTAATGGGCACAATGACTTCAGAATTCATTTTGAAGGAATATTGGCTATGAATATTTTCAGTTAAGATAAAAGTACTAACGTTAATTATCTCAGTTAATACAACATTGTATTAAATTATTATGTAAAACATAACGACACAATATTTATAAAATAACTGTTAAGAAAGTTAATCTAGTTCCATAACGAAATTTATCCATGAAACTTCTATTTTAGTTACATATTCGAGAGTACATGGCTACTTACTTGTGCAGTTCCCTTCGTAGAAGGCAATATCGTCGATGGCAAGGGTTCCACCGGCTCTGTTAGGTCCCCATATGCCTTCAAAGATTATCTAGAGGAAAATACTAAATTACATACTGAAAAATAAGTGCTTATGTAAATTATCTTAGACACAGGAATGTTACCGTCAGTTTTCACCGATGTTAAGGATACCATAAGAACAGTGGCGTAGCTAGTCCCGGGGGCTTCCGTGGAGAAGGTCTAAGTGGGTCCCGTATTGGGGTTACAAAACGTGAAATCACAAGCTCTAAATCTATATATATA